CTTCCTGCTGACTACATGCTCTGTCTAATTTTGTAATTCCTACTGACCATCAAGTATGAGACATTGTGGACTTTGACTGATGCCAGTGCATTTTCTACTCCCACTCTCCACAGTCCGGCACTCCTAAAGTTTGAAAGACAGTAAAGTGGCCCTTTTTTTACGAAGTTTGGAGACCCCTGGTTTAGATCAAAGCATATTCATGTGTTAGAATGGCCCAGTCAAAGTCCAGGCCTAAAGCCAATTGAGAATCTGTGGCAAGACTTGAAAAATGCTGTTCCCAGACACTCTCCATCGAATCTGACAGAGCTTGAGCTATTTTTCCAAGTAGAATGGCCAAAAATGTCCCTCTCTAGATGTGCAAAGCTGATAGAAACATCCCCAAAAAGGCTTGCAGCTGGAATTGCAGCAAAAGTGTGGTTCTACAAAGTATTGACTCCGGGGGGCTGAATACAAATGCGTGCCACACTTTTCACAGATTTATTTGTAAAAAAGTTTGAAAACCATTTATCATTTTCCTTCCACTTCACAATTATGTGCCACTTTGTGTTGGTCTACCACATAAAATCCCAATAAAATACATTTACATTTTTAGTTGTCACTTGACAAAGTGTGAAAATTTCAATGGGTATGAATACTTTTTCAAGGCACTGTAGTTGGGTATCTGCCTTAGAGAGGTATCAGCAATCCTGATAGGTGCCCATAGTCTTACCGAGGTCCTATCTATGTATATGAAAATATGGCATTTATAAAGTAAACCAGTACTAACTGGCTGAACATCCAGTATCCTGTGCCATTGGCTCCCACTGCTGTCAGTCAAATGCTGTGACAAGGGAGCAGGAGATGGGCTGACCTGTGCTGTCCGTGTCTATGGACACAGGCATCACGGCTCGGGATCAAGCCTACAGGTGTGGCATGATGAGAATTGGCTTCTTATGGTGGCACACCGAGAAAAGGAGGAGCCAGGAGCGCCAGCAGGGGACTCAAGAAGAGGATGTTCAGGGCTGCTCTATGCAATTTTATTGCAAAGAGCAGGTATGTATAAGATGTTTATTAGGCTTCATGCACACTGGGCTTTAAAAAAAAAAACACCAGTTCCCATCGGCGGAAAAAAATGCTGATATAGAGCATCTTTGTACACAGTTTAGGTGAGTTTAGGCGAATTCTGCGATTTTTATGCCAGAAAGTTCCAATCAAAAACGCAAACTAGAAGGGTTTTTTTTGCTGCCTCTAAATGTTGAGCTTAAAATAGGCCTCTAATTATCCTAATGTGCATAGACCCATAGAGTAACATTGAGCTGCTTCTACAGAGTAGAGTAGCAGTGAGTACTGCTTGGACCTTGAAGAAGGGGACACTCCCCGAAAGCTTGTCCTCAAAATTGTATGTTAGTGCAAATAAAAAAAGTATCACAGACAGTACTCAATTGCTACTTCTACAGACAAAACTCCTGTATAAGCAGCGGTTTCTAAGCCATGGGGCCTTATTTTTTAAAAAACCCTTTACAATCACTTTAACACGAACTATACTATGGTCTCCTTCTTGCAGCAGAAGAACATAATTTGCCAGCACACTTCCATCTTCTTGCAAGAAGATGGAGGTGTGCTGGCAGCATGTCATGTCCTGCTCGCTGTAGGGGTTGCAGTTTGTTGTGCAATGGAGTTATACATGATCCTGTTTGCAGCAGGTCTTCTGACCAATGCTTGCACGTTGGTCGCTCAATCCACCACCTGGAGGAGGAGTCGCTTTAGAGCCGGTAATTATGAGACAGCATAGTACACAATGATACAGTGGAGCAAGGGTAAGAATAAGCAGATACCGGTCCTGCTGATGGGTTATGGACCTTCTACGGCCCTGTTCAGCTCTCCTAGAGTAACCCTGTCTCCTGGAATCTCCTCCATGGTCTTGACATTGTGCTGGGAGGCACAGCAAACCTTCTGGCAATGGCACGTATTGATGTGCCATCCTGGAGGAGTTGGACTGCCTGTGCAACCTCTGTAGGGTCTAGGTATTGCCTCATGCTACCAGTAGTGACATTGACCCTAGCCAAATGCAAAACTAGTGAAAAACAGAAAAGATGAGTAGGGAAATAAATGTCAGTGGCCTCCACCTGTAAAACCATTCCTGTTTTGGGGGTTGTCTCATTGTTGCCCATCTAATGCACCTGTTGTTAATTTCATAAACATCAAAGCAGCTAAAACTAATGATGTCATTGGTTGTCAGGACGCCGACAGCTAGAAGGTTGTAATGGAGCACAATGAAAACCTGTGGCTTTGTGTAACTAAAAGGCAGGCTTGTTCCATCTGCTAGCTTGTATACAAGTTTTGGGCAATTTTTAGACATTTTGCCAAGGTACCCCTGAAGACACCTCAAGGCACCACCCTTGTTGAGAAAGGTTGCTTTACAGTATACTCAGTATACTGTGCTAACACTGCATTTCTATACAAAATACAATACCAAATGCATATTTTCTGATGGAACATTCCTTTAAAACTCAATAGTAATGTTGAACAAGAACAATATAACTAGTATAAGTAGGCGGTTTTGTCCTTATATCAGTTCCTGATATTTCCCTACACACATCAGCAGTCAGACTAAGAGGGAAAGCCAGCAATGTCAGCTAACCAGCCTCCATTGCAGTACACAGAGCTGCCAGATGAACACAGGAAACATGCTGACATGAGTAAAGCGCACTGGAAGAACCTCAATGATGTGCTTCTGCTCCCAACACCAACATCAGTTTTAATGTAGCCCATTTGAATGTTAACATGCATCCTAGTTTGACCCTCCCCTGCCCCTCTCCATCAGTGCTGGGGTAACATTAGCTCAGTGATGGAGAAAAGCTGAGGGAGAAGAGAAACACCAGAATACTAGTCAGTACCAGTGTGCAAAAGCGTATTTGCTTTGGAAGAATAAATCACCTCTAATGTTGGGTGTCCTACATGTGTGGATGTTGCTGCGTTATATAAAACTATTAGAATAGTTTTCACATTTTAGAATGGTGTGCCTCAAGACTGTCCATAATTATAAAGGGTGCCTCAAAACTGTCAATAATTTTAAAGGGTGTCCTGGACTGTCCATAATTTTAAAGGGTGCCTTGACTGAAAAAAGGTTGAGAAATACTGTTGTAAAGTATAGCACAGAGGTAGCATAAAGTGTATTTGGTTGGGCTAAAAGTTGTAATGTACAAGTGGCAGAAGTTACTCATGAAAGTGGTAACAAACTAGCTAACCAGGGTAGAGGGGATAAGAAGAGTGGGAGGGTGGGGAACAGGGGTAGTTACAAGGCTCCAATGTGGAAAGGGAGCCTGGTCCAAATATTAATGGCATTGAGTATGTTGGTTTGCAGGGATAGGTTTTTAAGGTTTCAGTAGAGCGCTGTCAAAGCCTGGCCATAGATATTTATCTCATGATTTCCACACTTTCCAGTACTTATGATCATGTCTTCTAGTGTGGTTTTCATGACTCAGAGCTAGAGATGTAAAATTTCTGGAAATTTTGAAGCCATGTGAAAAAAAGGTTTTTTTCCGGAAAAAATGGAAATTTTGGGAAAAACATTTTAAAAATTCAGTGTGTAGTTTTACAAATCGAACGTAGTTTTGTTACACTGGGAACATAAAAGGCAGTGTATATAAAAGTATTATGCTTGATATAAAGGACAGCTTATTCAGTAAATAAACTAAACTTGCTTTTTAAAATTACATTTTTTTTATTTTACTAATGGAAAAACAAAGACTGTATATGTTAAGAATATTTCATCTATACATGAGAACAGATAACCACCACCCCCTTTTCCCTCATAATAATGTAAACGCTTCCCGCCGATATGCATTTTCTGTTATTAACAGTTCTGATTTAGAAGCATATATTGCTTTATGAAGAGTTTGATCAATGTTCTCCTGATTTTCAGGTGTAATTTTCTCTATAAATGAAGGGATTGTATATTTTTGGGAGGCCGTGGTTTGTAACACTTCCTTCCTTGAAGATGCTGGTGAAGAAACACTTTGTAATGATCCAGAAGCAGCAGAAAAAGTGTTTCTGGATTGAGAAAAAGCTACTTACTCTTTCATTCCGGTCCTCATCATTTCATTCTATAAAGTATTTTTTAATGTCTCTAGGTTACCTCTGGCATACCACAGGATTTGTTTTGTCATCCTTGTAGCATTTGGAAAAGAATATTTCTTCTCACAATATTTGCACATTGCAGCTTCACTCTCAGCAGAAATTGCACCGTGGAAAGGTTTCCAGACTCTAGATGTTGGTCTCCCAATTTTACTGAGGGGAAAAGAAAAACCAATTTACTGATCAGGCTATAGGAAAACATCATGCTGTGATGGTGGAGGACATTAAAAGGGATCTATTGAAAGGCTAAAAAAGATATACTAATTTGTCAGATAAATTTACCTGTTAACTAAGGCCTGAGAGGAGGATGGAAACTACTGTATCCCAACAATCACCTAACGGTACAAGATGGAGCCCACAAGGAAAATAAACTGGAGCCTTTTCCTTGCTGTGCCCCCTTATGACAGAAATGTATATTTATCTTGTTTGAGAACTGCATTGAGAAGTACAGTGTTACTTGAATTGTATTCCAGGATTTGCTTGTATTCAGCTGAGAGAACTTGCAATAATTTAAGGCTACATAAAGTCTCAGAAATCTTTCATTAAAGTCTTCATGTTATATAGTATGAACACCATGTCATAGATGTATTATTTATCATTGTAAAAGAACATATTCCACACTCCTTTTTTTTTTTTTTCCAGTTCTTCCAGAAAAAAACAGCTTTTTTTAATTGTATGAAGTGGCATTCTATAGCTACTTTCAGCTTTAAGTCTTTGGACATGAAAAATGTTAAGAGACTGTGCAGGCTGTGTTATGTGAGATCACTTCTTTGGAGTGTTTATTTTATTTATATAATTCCCAGGAAGTCTCCCCAGATAAAACGCCAAAGTCAGGTTGTCCTCTTTTCTTTCAGTGTGTATATGAACTTATTGTTGTCCATTGGCAGGTCACAGTTTGCGATGAAATTCCTGGATCCGTCATTTGTTCCAATTACTAACTCTCTGACACAAGAGCTTCAAGAGAAACCAGCCAAGTGGATATTTAACAGAACAGTATTTGCACGGCAGAGGTTAGTGTCTCGCGCTCATGGGTCAAGTGAGTTCCCACATTCATTTGTGCTTTCATAATCAGCTAGTGCATTACTGAAGGTAGCGTCTATTATATAATAGTTCTTGTTATATAATTTTTTACAGTTTTTGTGAACACAGCAGCGAACCTTGGGCACCAATATTTATCTGGCCAGACATGACATTTTTGGCCAGCTCTTTCTCTTTATCATTGAAAGAACTCCCAATGTCATGGATCTCATTCTGTGCCCTTATTTTACAGATAGCCACTGAAAAGTATATGCTCTGTCAAGGGAAAAAGAAGTTTTTTGATCAGCAGTGATTATAATCAGATTCATTGAGGACCAAAAATATAACTATTTTACATATTGCATCATCACGTGCCGTATTTTGTCATAAAGCAGGCTTTTGTTGCTGTCTGCAACTCCATTATAGAGAATTCTCTCTCTAGTGGGACAGCAAAGGAAATAGAACCATACAACATTTTGTCTGGAGCTCTACTTTGAAAGACAACTGCTACAAAATTAGGTCATGCAATTCATTGGGCACTTTAGATTTGACATTTTACTTTTTTTTTTTTTTTTTTAACTTTACCAAAACACTGCCTATGCAACTAAGAGTAATCTGTAGATAAAAACAAACGGTGCAGCTTTGACTGTTGGATAATGCCTTTGCTATAAGTGTAGGCCATTTACATGCTGTACCTTCTGAACCCTGAGAACTTCAAGCCATCTGCCGTGGTGGCAGATGGGACATGTAGTTTTCTTATGCTCAGATTTAAGGGAGGTTAATCCTTTCTAACTGTCAAGATCATCAATGTCACTAGGAATGAAAGTGATGGGTAAATCCACAATTTTAAATTGCCAGCAGAACATAATAGAGGGGAAATCTTCTAATGGGGACAGTTGTTCCCATGAATACTTTCTAAGAGGGGATATCCCTTTATATTGGAAATGTAGTCTCTCACTTCCTGATGAATAGAACAAGAAGTGAAGAGACATCTAATGGGACACAAATGACAAAAAAACTGTGGCTTTAAACCTCCCCTACTTATCTAAATTTTAAAAAAAAAAAAGTTTTGGCTGTAGATATCCACTGGAGCTCCGGAAGGATTTACCCTTCTTCCTGACCAGGCCATTTTTTTCTATTTAGCACTGCGCTACTTTAACTGGTAATTGCACGGTCATCCAACGCTGTACCCAAACAAAATTTATATAATTTCACATCTTAATTTTCACACAAATAGAGCTTTCTTTTGGTGGTATTTGTTCACCGCTAGGTTTTTTTATTTTTTGCTATATAAACGAAAAAAGACAGAACATTTTGGGGAAAAAAAATCCAAATAAGTGTATATTGCTTGGTTTGCGTGAAAGTTATAGCATCTACAAACTATGGGATATACAGTGCTCAGCATAAATGAGTACACCCCTTTTTGAAAAGTAAGATTTTAATCAATATCTCAATGAACACAAGAACAATTTTCAAAATTTTGACAAAACTGAGTTTTATAGAACATTTTGTTTATCTCATTACATGAGTAAGGTTAACAATATAACTTAGATTTCAAAATCTTCAGTTTTACCCAAATTAGTTGATGCAACAATGAATACACCCCACAACAAAAACTACTCCATCTAGTGTTGTGTATGACCTCCATGATTTGTAAGGACAGCACCAAGTCTTCTAGGCATGGAATGAACAAGTTGGCGACATATTGCAACATCAATCTTTTTCCTTTCTTCAAGAGCGACCTCTTTTTAGAGCCTGGATGCTGGATGAAGAGTGATGCTCAACTTGTCTCTTCAGAATTCCCCATAGGTGTTCGATTGGATTCAGATCAGGAGACATACTTGGTCACTGAATCACTGTCACCCTGTTCTTCTTCAGAAATGCAACAGTGGCCTTAGATGTGTGTTTTGGATCATTGTCATGTTGGAAAAGTGCACGACGACCAAGGGCACGGAGTGATGGTAGCATCTTCTTTTTTTAATATAGAGCAGTACATCTGTGAATTTATGATACCATCAATGAAATGCAGCTCCCCGACACCAGCAGCACTCATGCATCCCCACAGAAGGACACTGCCACCACCATGTTTCACTGTAGGCACCATGCATTTTTCTTTGTTCTTTTCACCTTTGTGACACCGTACAGTTTTGAAGCCATCAGATCCAAAAACATTTATCTTGGTCTCATCACTCCAGAGTACAGAGTCCCAGTAGTCTTCTTTTTCAGCATAGGCCCTAGCAAATTCTAGGCTTTTTTGTGCATGGGCATTAGGGTCCTTTCACATGGGCATTCTGTTTTTTTCATCAGTTCAGTCGCATTTTTTTATTTCAGAATCGGAGCTAAACAGATCAAGACTTCACTTTTTACCTCAGTTTTCATATCATTACATCTTTTTTTTTTCATCCGTTTTTGATCTGTTTACATAAATTTTTATCCGTTTACATCTGTTTTTGTCCAGTAAGGTTTTTTTTACAGAAGAGAAATAGGGTTTTCTTCCATCCAAAAAAACGGATGTTAACAGATGCGGACATTAATGGATGTAAACAGATTATCATCCATTTCCATAGAAATACATGGGTGTTCGTTTTTCATCAGTAAATGGACAGATGAAAAACGGACATACGGAACACCAGTGTGAAGAGACCCTTAGGACGACACCCATGCATGCCATTCCTCTGTAGTGTATACCGTATTGTGTCACGGGAAACAATCACCCCAGTTTGGCTTTCTACATCTTTAGCTAACTGCAGTGAACTTGCATGGGGATTTTCAGAAGACGCTCCTGTTGAGGTGTTAATTTCCATGGACAGTCTGGACTTCTCTGTGAGATGGTTGCAGTTATATCTTTGTAAAATTTCTGCATCATTTTTGCTACAGTATTATGACTGATAAGTAAAGTTTTGCTGTTCTACTTGTAGCCTTCACCTTTCTTGTGTAAAGAAATTATTTTCTTTCTTATTCCTTGTGACATTTCTCTTCCATGCCATTGCTGACAGCATGAAATGGGAAGGGGTTTTCTTTGTTAAGTAACACCATTTTATAATCATCTGTCTGCTGGACACCTGTTCAATGAACAATTAGACTCACCTGTAGTTGAATTCTTGTACGTTAGGATTTTGTTGTCTAAAATTTAGCATTGCTCATAAGACTTTTTCAATGGGGTGTGTTCACTTTTGCAACATGGTCTTGAATGAATTTGTTAGGAAAAATACTTTTTTTTTGTGTGCGCAAATTACCAGATCTTGTTTGTGGGATTTGTGGGATATATTGTATAGTGTCCCATAGAAAATGCTGATTCTGAAAGGAAAGTAAAGGTTTTCTGACAAATCTGTTGGGATGTACTCATTTATGATGAGCACTGTATATTGGAATTCTTTTTTTTTTTTTTTGTTTAATACTACTAATGGCGGTGATCAGCAACTTATAGTGGGACTGCGATAGTGTGAAAGGCAATCTGAAACTAACTGTCCTTGAGTTGGAACTAACACTGACATATCCAGTGACACGAATACAGTGATCAGTGCTAATACTATACACTGTCTTTGTACTAATGACACTGGCTGGGAAGGGGTTAACATCTAGGGCAATCAAGAGGTCAAATGTGTTCATAACAATGTGTAATACAAGTGAAACTCGAAAAATTAGAATATCGTGCAAAAGTTAAATTATTTCAGTAATGCAACTTAAAAGTTGAAACTAATATATGAGATAGACTCATTACATGCAAAGCAAGATAGTTCAAGCCATAATTTGTCATAATTGTGATGATTATGGCTTACAGCTCATGAAAACCCCAAATCCACAATCTCAGAAAATTTGAATATTGTAAAAAGGTGCAATATTCTCGGCTCAAAGTGTCCCACTCTAATCCTCTAATCCTCTAATTAGGCCATAACACCTGCAAAGGGTTCCTGACCATTTAAATGGTCTCTCAGTCTGGTTCAGTAGGAATCACAATCATGGGAAAGACTGCTGACCTGACAGTTGTGCAGAAAACCATCATTGACACCCTCCATAAGGAGGGAAAGCCTCAAAAGGTAATTGCAAAAGAAGTTGGATGTTCCCAAAGTGCTGTATCAAAACACATTAATAGTAAGTTATGTGGAAGGGAAAAGTGTGGAAGAAAAGGTGCACAAGCAGCAGGGATGACCGCAGCCTGGAGAGGATTGTCTGGAAAAGGCCATGTCAAAAGTGTTGGGGACTTTCACAAGGAGTGGACTGAGGCTGGAGTCAGTGCATCAAGAGCCACCACACACAGATGGATTCTGGACATGGGCTTCAAATGTTGTATTCCTCTTGTCAAGCCGCTCCTGAACAACAAACAACGTCAGAAGCGTCTTACCTGGGCTAAAGAAAAACAGACCTGGTCTGTTGCTCAGTGGTCCAAAGTCCTCTTTTCTGATGAGAGCAACTTTTGCATCTCATTTGGAAACCAAGGACCCAGAGTATGGAGGAAGAATGGAGAGGCACACACCGCAAGATGCTTGAAGTCCAGTGTGAAGTTTCCACAGTCTGTGTTGATTTGGGGAGCCATGTCATCTGCTGGTGTTGGTCCACTGTGCTTCATTAAGTCCAGAGTCAACGCAGCCGTCTACCAGGAGATTTTGGAGCACTTCATGCTTCCTTCCACAGACGAGCTTTATGGGGATGCTGACTTCATTTTCCAGCAGGACTTGGCACCTGCCCACACTGCCAAAAGCACCAAAACCTGGTTCAATGACCGTGGGATTACTGTGCTTGATTGGCCAGCAAACTCGCCTGACCTGAACCCCATACAGAATCTATGGGGCATTGCCAAGAAAAGATGAGAGACATGAGACTGAACAATGCAGAAGAGCTGAAGGCCGCTATTGAAGCATCCTGGTCTTCCATAACACCTCAGCAGTGCCACAGGCTGATAGCTTCCATGCCACGCCGCATTGAGGCAGTAATTGCTGCAAAAGGGGCCCAAACCAAATACTGAGTACATATGCATGCTTATACTTTTCAGAGGTCCAATATTGTTCTATGTACAATCCTTGTTTTATTGATTGCATATAATATTCTCATTCTCTGAGATTGTGGATTTGGGGTTTTCATGAGCTGTAAGCCATAATCATCACAATTATGACAAATCACGGCTTGAACTATCTTGCTTTGCATGTAATGAGTCTATCTCGTATATTAGTTTCACCTTTCAAGTTGCATTACTGAAATAAATGAACTTTTGCACAATATTCAAATTTTTTTTCGAGTTTCACCTGTACTTTAACAGTGTCCTTCATTGGAAATGCATAACTGAAAAATGGTCTAATGTGGAGAAGTATCAACATACATTTGCCCACATAGATATAGGCGTGGTGGTCAGTGGTCTGCAGCACATTTGGCCACAGAGTGTATCCCTGGATAGTTATAACTATGCAGTTTTTGCAGCATTGTAATGTGTAATAAAATTACTGGGACTGACATGTTTTTCCTTGTGCCATTTGTTAGACGAGAAATTCTCCAGAATGTGGATGTAATCCGAAATTTTTCTTTGACCAAGAATAGTGTACGAACTGGGCAACTGATGCATTACGACTATTCCAGTCATAAATACGTCTTTTCTATCAGCAATAACTTCCGATCCCTTCTGCCGGACAGCTCGCCCATCATGAACAAGCATTACAACATTTGCGCAGTCATAGGAAACAGCGGCATCCTGACAGAAAGCCAGTGTGGAGCAGAAATAGACAGCGCCGATTTTGTCTTTCGATGTAACTTTGCTCCAACAGAAGCTTTCCATAAAGATGTTGGCAGAAAGACCAACCTGACTACTTTTAACCCCAGTATTCTCGAGAAATATTACAATAACCTTCTGACCATACAGGACCGGAACAACTTTTTCTTGAACTTAAAAAAGCTCGATGGAGCCATATTGTGGATCCCGGCGTTTTTCTTCCATACTTCTGCCACAGTTACCAGAACATTGGTGGACTTCTTTGTCGAACATCGAGATCAGCTAAAAGTCCAGCTGGCATGGCCTGGAAATATCATGCAACATGTCAACAGGTAAGAAATATACTTCTGTTTTCTAATGCAACCATGTATCTTAACCCCTTCATGTAAGCACTGTGATTGGCCGTTGCAGTGGTCGCATGATCAGGAGCTGAATCCTCCGATTCCCAATCATTAGAACCAACCGAGAGCTTTCTGACAGCTCCCAGCACAGAAAACTCTGCCGTCCATGGATGTGCAGTGTGTGGGCGTTAAAGCCCACTCTTGTAGCCAGCGCACATACGGGTTACCTGGGCGACAAGTGGTTAATCGAACAGTACAGGACACAAGCTGAGTATCCATAGACCCTGAGTTATAGGCTGATACCTTCAGGTATTGGATGCTGGCAAAGATTTTGTAACACACCCACAAAAAGCATCAGGCAAGAAGATACAATACAAAAAGATAAAGCGGAAGTAAACTCATATAGAACTTGTACCTACAGGTACGCTTATAGTAAGTCTTACATGTATGTTCAGTGAATATCTTGTAAACATGTGCCATTTAGGGGATACTCACATCTGCTGTATGCCTTGAATGCAGAGCGCCATGCCGCATTGATGACTCCTGTGCACATGTGCAGGAGTGATATCATTGAGGCGTGGCTATTCAAATGGCCAGAGAGCATGAATGAATACAGGGTGAAGATGGGAGTGCTGGCAGCGGTGACAGCGCAGCACTGGAGGGCTCCGTTTTAAAGGTAAGTTACATAGTTAGTCTGGCTGAAAAAAGACAAAAGTCCATCCAGTTCAACCATTAACAAAAAAGTTATAATCCCATACCCACAGTTGATCCAGAGGAAGGCAAAAAAAAAAACCCAGCAAAGCACGATCCAATTTGCTCCTGCTGGGAAAAAATTCCTTCCTGATCCCCCGAGAGGCAATCGGATATTCCCTGGATCAACTTTACCTTTAATATTGTTAGTATCCAGTTATATTCTGTGTATCTAAGAAACAATCTAGGACTTTTTTGAAGCAATCCACTGAGCTGGCCAGAACCAACTCTTGAGGGAGTCTATTCCACATTTTCCGTGTAAGTCTGCCATAATATGGTAGTATGCAGTGCTAGCATAAAGAAATCTAATCATTTGTATGTACTGAGCATCACAGGGGCATCACAAACTTGGAATGCAATTATTTCTTACAATTTTGAGAAGGTGCTATAATTTAGTCTAGTCCATTTTTTGGGGTTTTGCGTGGAATGTTTCAGATTTGGCTTTTTGCTTCTACACTTTTGTGTCATACCAATACAAACAAAAGAAATTAACATGAGAATGGCTAAGCATTTGTAATTGCAATGTGTAATTGTAATTTTCTGGGTGAAGCAGTGCATTATCTGACAGAAATGCAGGGTGCCAATATGTTTGGCCATGAATATATATATATATTCCATTTACAGCTCAGTAACACGTTCCATGCATTTTGGTTGAATTTGTTTCAAATAGCAACCCAATGCACATGTGTTACAGCAATGACAATGCATGGCTATGCACCATAGTGTTACAAATTTTTTGATACATCCTGAGGGGTGTGGAAATTTTTGTCCATGGACTAAATCAGTGTCCCAATCTACTTGTCCCTCATGACAATCTACTTGTCCAGATAAAAAAAAATACATTTGAACCAAAACCAAATGTGATTTTAGGAATGTCGGGGCTTTTAATATCAAAACCGGCTTTATGGCGACTTAAACGTGTAATAATTTTAACATTGCGCTGTTTTCTCCTCCTCCCCTCCCTGCCTGTCTCCAGCACCAAACCTGGGGACTAACAGTGAGGGGAGAGACCTTGCAGTGTAATCAGCACTGATTGGGTGCTCTTCAGGAAAGGGGAGTGTCCAGCTTATACTTTATCCATTTTGCTGCCAGAGCAGTTTTTTTGCGTTTAAAAAAAACATTTCAGGTGTGAAGATTATATAAAACCCCTAACATGATATATTTTCTAAAAACAGAGACCCTAGAGAATAAAATACTGGTAGTCCAATTTTTTTATGTCGTATGATATTACCACAAAATTTCAGTAAAAAATACAAGTTAGTTCATTTTAGGGCACAAAAAAAAGCAAAAAATGACCCTAGTTTTTTGTAAAATATAAAAGATGAGGTTGCAGCGAGTAAATAGATATCCAACTTGTCAAACCTTAAATTTGCGTGCGCTCATGAAATGACGATGAACTTCAGTACCCTATATTTTCTTTATACTTTTATACTTTTAAAGCCCCTTATAGGTCATCAGTATAGTGTACAGAGAAGGTCTCATGCTGGAATTATTGCTCTCATTCTGGTGTGTGCGGCAATATGTAAAGTGTGTATCGAAATCGATGCTTTCATGCGTAGGTGCCCTAGCATGTGCTTTTTACGTTTGTATGTGCGTATATGTGGGGGGCTCAATTTTTTTGGGGGGGGGGTGTTATGTGCTTGTTTGTAACTTTGATGTTTTACAAATACTTTTTTTTTAACAAAGTCCCCTATGTGATGATTTTTGGTGACAGGTACTCTTTATTGAGACATCCAGGGTCTAAAACACCCTTGATGCCTCCCTTGAATGTAATGCAGTAAACATCATTACATTCTTTCCCGGCCTCGATGGCTGGGAAATCTTTGAACGGGGACCCGGAAGTGACATCATAATGCCACTTCCAGGTCAGGGCAGGAAGGGGAGCGAATGTGTCCGTCTCCTCCCTCCCCTCTAGTCAACGGCGGTGAGCCGTCCCAGGCCCACAGATGAGCATGCGGAGCCCAGGAGACAGTGGGCGGTTCACGTAGGGGTGGGGGTTAGCGGAGGCTGGCACTGTGTGGAAGCAATTGGGCAGTAGCGCTGCCGCCCAAATGCTTCCACCTGACACCAGGGCTGAAGGATTAAAAAACTACCTGCCCAGCGCCCTGACCTACATGTCCCTGGCGTCGGTCCATATAAATTCAACATCCCTGCATCGTATTTTCTGGGACATTTTGGTGCACTGGTAGGCCACTATTTACAATAGGCTCAGTGAAGGAAGCTGTAACTGCTTGCTGCAGGTGGCCAATATAGAACAGTCTTTTTCAGCCAGAGCGCCCAGGCACCCTGGGGTGCCTTCAGGTTTCTTCAGGGCTGAATTGGCAAAATGCCTAAAATTTGCTAAAAAATTGCATACAACCAGCAGATGGATGAAGGTGGATGAAGTCTGCCTTTTACTTACACAAATCCACAGGATTTCATTTTGAACCATTACAACCTTCTAGCCGCCGGCATCCTAACAACTAATGACATCATCGGTTGTAAAGGAGGATGTCAGGCACCTGTACAGAAAGAAAGAGTGAGGGAGAGAAACTGAGAGAGAATAGAAACATTGGCATACTAGTCAGTACTAGTGTGCAAAAATGTGTTTGCTTTGGAAGAATAAGGCTGCTTTCACACCGATCTGCTGCAAAAACACAGCAATAATGCATAGGCGTTTTTACCATGCTTTTGCCACACTTTCTGAGCAATTTTTAAAGGACATGTAACTTAAAAACTGCATCAAAAATTCTTCTCAGAGACGCTTTTCAGGCGTTTTCAATGGGAAGAGGCATTTTGGGGCATTTTTTTCAACTGAACAAACATGCTCCAAAGATGCTGCCAGCAGGAGTTTTTACACCGCAAGGGAAGTGCAACACCCCAGTGTGAAATCATGCATAGATATACATAGGGGAGGAATATTTGTGAGCTTTTCAGGCGCATTTGTAAACGCAAAAGTGCTTCAAAAACTCCTCAGTATGAAAGTAGCCTAAATCACCTCTAATGCTGGTTGTCTTTCATCTGTGGATGTTGTTACATTACGTAAAACTATTACTTTAGTTTTTTAACATTTTAGATTGGGGTGCCTCGAGATTGCGCAGAATTTTAAAGGGTGCGCTGACTAAAATGAGGTTGAGAAACACTGGTCTAGAATATTCACATGCAGTATTTCATATGTCCCTGACTAAAATGGAAACGTAACATGAATTTTCTGGTTCAATCATTAACATATAAAAATAAAGGTAATATATATGAAAGAAAATCCCTGTAAGATCATTCTGTGCAGGAAAGAAGTATTTCAAGACTTCAATGAGAATGCCTTCAAAGGATCTCTTACATTGTTTTCCACGTGTTGACAATGTTTCGACAATTATTTTCTTTAATTACATAACACCTGACAGGCGAATGAAAAAATAATTCAATCTAGGCCATATCCATATTAATGTCTATGAAATGATTTATGTTTAGTATGAACAGTACTTAGGCTACCCAACAATAACAACAGCAACCAAAATCACTAATGCAGGCCACACATGGTTCGAATTACGAACGATTTTTTGTCTGAAAATCAGAAACGTTTGCTCGGTAATCCGATGATGCCATCATTGACTTCGAAAAATCGGCCGGCCAAGTCATAAAGTTCACCCCATATAACAGGCAAAACTTCTGTTCCTTCCAGGTCACGGCTCATGCGCATATTCTTTTCGGAAAAACAATTGTACAATTTGACCATCGAGTCGAAAATAGGTAGTTTTTCATGAATTTTCCAAAATGTCCAATCACTGAAAAGGGGAGGAACCACGAAAATCAGCCAGTGCCATTAACCCACTAACAGAACGAAAATCAGCTGATTATTCTTGGATCTGATTTTCAGAAGAAAAATCGGTCGATTTTCAACCCATGTATGGCTGGCCTAAGGGCTAGTTCACACTAGATGCAGTCCAGTGTGTTTTTTTCTGCATCAAAAATGCATGCACACAGTTTTCCATGTATTCCAATGGCCCTAGTTCACACCACTGCAGTAAGTTCCAGTCAGTTTCCAGTTCAGAAAAAAAAAGTAGAACATGCTGCATTTTTTTCTGCACAGAATTGTACTGGAACATGGCAAACTGCATCAAAAAAACTGCACCAGAACAGAGGGTGGTGTGAACTGTAAGCAAAAACATATCCGGACTGCATCTGCAGTGCCTAAGGGCCAGTTCACACTACATGCATTTCAGTTGCTTTTTTTCCTGCATCCAAACCGCATAGAAAGTAGGTGA